GCTCCCATCGCAGAGACTAACGCCATGAACGCAGCTCAGCGCATCCTCGAGTTCGACCGGCTTCAAGAGACAGACTCCGTCACAGATCTCTGCAGGACCTTTTCGGCCAGCATCGCTCGCTCAATCGAGCTCACGAACCTGGAGTGGTCGATGCAACAGAGTGCCCGTCGCGCTGGCGAGACAATCGAGCCTCGAATCTTTTTGAGCTGGTGTGCCTTGCTGGGACGGGTTACGGGGTAACAAAAGCCGGACTTGGGTAGAACAGGAGCAAGCGTACTGGCATTTGAGCACTTTCATTTTCTTCATACGAGTGACAAGGATAACAGACCATTGACCATTCAGATTCTTTACAAAATGTCTACCGCGTGCGATATGATAGAGCCAAGCGAGGAGTCATGGAAGGGATTGTGGTTGTCTAGGTCAAGTACAAGGCACCAATTGAATCACAGTTCTAGATCTCTTGGTGGAATAGCGAGTTCTCTTCTTTTTTTCGTGATCCCCTTTCCGAGACTGCCAGCGCTTAATGTTTTTCCCTGCAGCACTTACCTTAGGGATCGACACGATAGGTCGCCATCCCAACAGGCACACAAAGTTCTCGGTTGTGATCGGCATTGTCCACACGTTGAACTGCATGCCTGCCACGAGGAGCTCCCAGCAATGGAAAGGATGTATAAATTCGCCTCGGAAAATGTCGTTGACTCTGTCCAGCCTGCTAGTCAATAGCGACGGAGATGGTTCCCATACATTCGAGAAAGTGCGACAAGACCAACAGGTTGACAGTCTCTTTGAATTCTCTATCCCACATGTTCCGCGTTTAAGTCTGATGTCAGTAATATTTTGTAACGATGGTGCCACAAGAATGGAGCGGCCGGCCAAAGATCGATTAAAGTGATGGAAAAGTCAGTGCGGTAGACGAGCAAATGAGATAATGGTACGTGGGTGGAAGGAACTCGACCCGAAACCCCTTTGTAGTAAGTCGACCACTGCAAGCTCGATTTGTTCCGACTTGTAGAAAGTTCGCCCAACGTGCAGAATCTTGCCGATTTCGGCTCGAGATCAAGCTCCAACACCACCAGCGAGCCGGGTCGTTGGGTCATGAACCACAGTGCCAGTTACGGGACATCATAGCACGTGAACAATTGAGCCGGCCCCTCGCCTACTGCCCGTCCAGGTAACCGATGTCGTAAATCGAAACGCTTGTGTCGCACACTTCCTTGGAGAGGTTGTACTGATAGGCGCTCAAAAAAAGAGAAAACCAGAAAACTTAGGATGCCCACATTCGACTAATTGACCAACCTAGGATCAAGTGGGACGATTGTGGCTGAGAAACGATGTGCAACACCACGAAGAGTAGAAAGTAGTTGTTTACTCACGGCTGTTAGTTGCTTTTGGAGGTGGTCAGCCGCCACAGCATCTCCAAATGCAGGTGGTGGTCTACCTGTCGTCATGGGTGTGAGGTAGCTGCTTGTAATGTAGGGTGCTTGGTGCTATGGTGTAACCCGAGAAAGTCTTATTGGCGGGCTCTCTAGTTACAGATGCAAGGTCAAATTCCAGTTGACTGAGTCGAGCGGACTGCTCTCCGCACCATAGAAGGAAGCGATAAGAGATCGGGATGATGTCGTGATTGTCGTGATGGATCTGAATCCCCCTCTTCTCATAGATTACCCTTCACGGTAACCATTTCGAGCCCACCCTGTCTGTGCTGCCTGCGTACTCGTATGTCTTCGTTCATCTTGCGCGTCCCTGCGTATTGCTTCAGCTTAGATAAGGATCGAATTCATGGACAACAGCCTCATTTGGCATCGTCAGCCTTATGGCAAAAGGGGCTCTGACTGCATTGCCGCGATCTCGGTAGGCTTTAAATAGCTTTGCTGACCTGCGAAACGTGCTGAAACGCGGTCCACAGAGATCGTCGGGGCAAAAAATCCGGACGCCTGTGACACAGGGCTGTTAAATTGCTGAGAGGCGAGGGAGATCAGGGGTGGGTGATTGGCCGGGTGCCTCAATGCAAAGGGGCTGAGGGGCGAATACGCCCTGGTTTTCTCGCTGGTGCAACTTGCAGGTGACAGATGGCGATGATGTGATGTTGAAGGAATGGGCTGAAGGGTGACAAGCATAGCGGTGATGCAATGGAATGATGCTGATTTGTTCCAAAGCGTTTGTTCAGACAACAAGCAAAAAAGTCGAGAGGCTAAATGACTTTGGCTGCGGTCTTGACCATCGCGTCGTCTTGTGCTGCCCATTCCAGAAGCAAGCCTGCGGGCTTTAGCCTTTGGGGCTTTAACTAGGCGGCGTTGGTGGCTCGGGGGAATGCTGATCTAGCCTAGAGAGGGGAGCCGAGGGGTTCTTCAGCCACTCAGACGCCCATTCGCAACCCACGCCCGCAGGGGAACGAGGACGCCCCACCAGAAATTACGAGGTACCCGGTACACGTTCCCTTTTCCTATCTCCCATTTCCACCACCCTGAGGAGGCTGTGCTTCCGCGAAATTCAACGTGCCCAGCGCCAGACCACTACTGGCATGCTCTTGTCTGCGCCGTTGGGTTCTGGGGCAACCTGCTCGCAACTGAAAAGGTCCCTGACCCGCTGTCGTTTCTCACTTGGCTGGGTCCTCTGACCGTTTTCACCCCCATAAAACGCGTTACCACATTTTCTGTTTGCTGTCTGCCTGCGCCCTGACTATCCCACAGCCTCCCTTCAGCTACATACATTCTACATAATTGTACCCCGTAGATGCTGTCCCCTCGACCCCAGCGTCTATATTCCCTTCGAAGTCTTGACTGACTTCGAGGTCATATGGCGGCTTCCTCTCCTTCACTACTCCGCCAACTTCTTTTCGTTCTCCGCACTTTTTCTCCCCGCAAATCATGAACTCTCATTGCCTGCAGTTGGACGAGTACGAGTTGTCGAGGACGAGTACACGCACATCAGACGGAGCAGACGACCCTTTACTTTATTTCGAGCACGGTTCGGACCACGATGAATTCCAGTCGCATTTTCTAGCAGACCAGACTGTGTCCGGCGTGGCTAAACGAGGAGTTTCCTCACAGTTCATCTCACTCGCCCCTGCGTGGCTGCGCAAGCAGTATCTCCCTCGCCGACCTCGAACGAGATCAAAACGACTTCCTCGCCGATACATCTGTACGCCTAGATCGTTCCTTCGGAAATTCGCTTTACTTTGTTACATATTTTTCACCACCATCGCCGCCATTATTATCGTGGGAGGCGTCTTTTTCCCCGGCTACACTCACCTTCCACCCCATTATAGAGCATTAAGACAGAGAGCATTGGCCTCCGAGACCCCAGGGCGGGTAAATCTGCAACACCAAAAAGTCTTTCTGGCCGCGAGCATCTACGATAAAGGCGGGAAACTCCTGGGCGGAGACTGGGCGCAAAATGTGCTAGAACTGATACAGTTGCTGGGACCACAGAACACATTTCTCTCGATATACGTGAACGATTCGGGTCCAGAAGCACAAGAGGCGTTGCAGGAACTCGAGAAGCGGGTGCCGTGCGATCACGCGTTGGTGTTCCAGGACCACTTGAGCATCGAGAACCTTCCCCACATCCGCATTCATGGACAAGAACGTGTGAAACGCATCGAGTATCTCGCTGAGGTTCGAAACCGGGCGTTGAGGCCGCTGGAAGGTTCCAACACTACGTTCGACAAACTCCTCTACCTAAATGACGTTGTTTTTCATCCGATCGATGCGGCTCAGCTGCTCTTCTCCACACATACTGTGGCCGACGGCGTCACGGACTACAGGGCAGCATGCGCGGTCGACTTCATTAATCCTTTCAAGTTTTACGATACTTTTGCAACCCGGGATGCCGAAGGGTACAGCATGGGTCTCCCCTTCTATCCGTGGTTTGCTGCTGGTGGTGACGAGACCAGCCACCAGGACGTCCTCGACGGCAAAGACGCAGTACGAGTGAGAAGTTGTTGGGGTGGAATGGTTGCATTTGATGCACGCTTCTTCCAGGCACGACCAGGCAGGCCTGAGCTGATCACTGCGGGCAACCAAAGCCCCAGCAATCTCTCCACACCTTATCGCTTTCGCGCCGAGAAGGACCTCTACTGGGATGCATCGGAATGTTGCCTCATCCAAGCCGACATCCAGAATCCTGAGCCTGGAAATTCAGGCATTTACATGAACCCTTTTGTTCGAGTAGCCTACGACTCGAGGACCCTCTCGTGGTTGGGCTTTACTCGACGTTTTGAGCGCCTCTATACACCAATCCACTGGCTGATCGACCTTGTCACCAACAAACCGAAATTCAACCCAAGGCGACACGAAGAACCGTGGCAGGAGGTGCAGGAGACAGTTTGGATCGCCGATGAGAGGATGCCGCCGAACAACGGTTCATTCCACCAAGTGATGAGGATAGCCTCACATGCAGGCTTTTGCGGCCGCCGAGGTTTGGCGGTCATAAAGGAAAACATTATGGAAGGCGAAAGAAACTGGGAATTCGTACCGGTGCCTTCATGACATCTTTCAGCATAGCGTTGGCGTCCGGAGCGAGACAAAAATCTCAAGGGGGGATATTACGAGCCTGTAAAAAGCATCTTGCGGTCGACATGAGCGACGCGGTTTTCAGAAAATCAATTGTGAAAGAGACCTCTTCAAGGGATGGAGAAGAGAAATGTAAATGCTGAAGCTGTTACGCAGCCTTTTCTACCACTAAGTGGTCATGCTTTCCTCCAACACTTTGTGCTGACATGACATTCGCTGTTATTAGATGATCTACCTACGGTTGACGATTGATGTGAGACGATGTTGACTATCGTCACCAAAAGTCTCGTGGATATTGGGAGTGAGTGAATGGGAGGACGTGAATCTGGGCGACTGCGCCCGAGTCCTTTAACTCGCTTCATCGCTACCACTGACCACGTCACTTCTATCATCACTTCTATCTTCATTTCCGCCTTCATCATTGCTGTCTGCATAGTGCCTTCCTCGATCCATCTCGCGAAGCCGAGAATAAAATCAGATTCAGTCATGACGACACTGTCGCCGTATGACGATCCTGCCGTTCTCGACAAGTTCTTGCAAGTGATTCAAGGCAAATCACAGTCTGCAAGGTCCAAAACATCAGTCAACAATGGCCCGCCGAAGCTCAACCCACAGAATGGAGTAAGTTGTGTCCTTTCCCGCCGTTCCGTCCTATACTGGCGCTGATTTGTCCGAGGATTTCTCTCCTAGGATCTCTGTCACCGCCGAACATGTCGAAAGTGGCCTCAACACAGTCACTGGCGCCCAGGCTGCTCAGTCCTTGGATCAACAGGAGTCTGTAGCTAGCATTCTGAAACCACCACCATTCCCTCAGACATCTGACACTGATAGATCTGCTGCGCTAGACTTGGTCCAAGATGAGCAGGACACTGTCACCGAAACAGCAACCCGGACACGGCCTTTGACGCCGACCCAGCATAGACTCCTGATCGGCAGGAAGCGTGGCATTGAGCACCTCACTGAGGGCAACCTGGCGGAATTAGGCAAACAAACCCAGGGTTACATTGACAACGTGGTTGACCAGTTTCGAAAGTCAAAAGGACCGGATTTTGCACAACCTCGTGTCGCTACTAGTCATAGGCCTTCAGACGAGTTCAAGGCTGCGCATTCTCTTCAGGGTGCCTCATCTTTACGAACAGTTAGCAACCCAGACAAGGCGAATGCTGCCGCAATCTGCAATACGGATGAGACGCCAGTCAACGCGAGTGAGAATGACCGACCTATTAAGAGCTGTAAGCTTTGGGTTTGTTCATTCCATGAATTGGCTGACAGGTTTACCAGCTGATCAGCAGGATTGCTGGCACGACGAGAGTCCCGACAGAGCATCTTGCATCACTCCCGTTGTGGATCCTGCCTTCCACCAGGATAGCCAGCAGCACATGAACAATGGTAAGCCCGAATTACACAGTATAACACACACTGCCTGACACGTAAACGCAGGTCCAAAGCAAGTCGATAAGTTGACAGATGTTGTTCCATTTCCCACCCGCGTCGGTGGTCCAAATGGGCAGACCTTTGGCAACCTAAAGGGGTTGGGCGATGATTACTCTGCATCAGCAGACGTGGCTAAGGCCGAAGACGAGCGTCTATCGACCTCCACTGCTAATCTGAAGATAGACAACGCAGTCGAAGACGACAGTGACAAAGATGGCGTTCCGGTGACGAGCGGAGTGCATGACAACGATAGCCCCCCACGCCACACCCAATCTCCCACCATTGTGGTGACTGCTAGCACAGACACAGACGAAAGTGTCGAAGATGACAATAACGACGAGGATAATGACGAGGAAGAAGACCGAGAAAACCTCGTCCGGTTCAGGTCATGGGGAACCCCTGTCGCCCGCAATAAACCGAGTAAGTTTTTCTCATTCTGTTACATGAGTCTGCCAATAATGTTTTCAGAATCTCGTCCACGTACTGTCATTCTCACTGGTTTGCCACGCGGTGCCGATTTCATGCTTGTCCAATCTCTTATCCATGGTGGTGCAATTGAAGGCATGAAGCTTGTCGCGTCCATCCCTGAGCGAACCACGATCGCGGCTCATGTAACCTTTGCTTCTGCCGATGCCTGCGAATGCTATTGTGGCAACTATCCCAGGGGAATGGAAATCCGCCATCAAGGCAGAAAGTGGTCCGTGCTCGTGCACAAGAAAGAGCAAGTGGATGTGATTTCTGGAATGTTGCAGGGATATCTCGACTGTGGAGCGACCCGCGTGGTCAAGGTGAGCGGCGCCGATGACGACTGGGGTATTGTTGCTTTGAACAAGCTCGCTGAAGGAAAGCCTGGCACCCGTCAAGTCGAGGCTGTGCAGGATACGTATCGTAATGGGGTGAGTCCAACCTGTCCGGCATATTTCCAATTTTCGTTGTGAGCTCCAGCTGACCCCTGCGACAGATCCGCACCATCGTCTTCCGGTTCGCAAACATTAGCCATGCAGTCCAATTCAAAGCCCATCTGATTCGAAGCGACGATTGGTATGGGTGTCACGTTGAGTTTGCAGAGGATCCATGCGAAAAGGCTACTGGGATTCATTACGACTGAATGCCGCAACGAAAGATGCAGATACCATCCATGTCCGTCTTCGGACCGATTGAAAGAGGGATTCGGGGATCGAGTGGTTGCAGATGTGTGAAGAGGAATGTCACTACCGAGTACGACAAAGCTAGTTCTCGAATGAGAGCACCAGTGGTATGGATATTGCTAAGGACTGATGTCTATCTACATCAGTATCAAAGTCTCGAAGCTAAGAGCAGGTCACTCTGGGCCAGTGAGCAAGGATGGAAGAGTCTCCCTTTGGGGGATGGTGTTTGCTGGTGGTTTGTAACCCGAGATCGAGCCTACCATCTCCAATAATAATGTGGTATGATCTCATGCGCTGAACCACAAATGAAAAACTGAGTTGCCCCACGTCAACATACACCCTGCGAAGTTTCTTTTTTTCCCTCTTTTCTTTCTGCGCCTCGACCCTCCGAGAAGTAAAAGAGCTCAGCACTCTCTGCAGAGACTCACATTTGTCAAACACCACACAGTCGCCGTCTACGCTGGACTAGGCTCAGTTCACAATGGGTCAACCATCTCAACAGGCGTCAAACGCCATCATCTACACCACCTACGCAGCTTTCCTGTGCGCAAATTCCTCATCCAATGGCCCCTTCGCAGAGTAAGAGGAGGACAACTAACAATGTGTCCGGCTAGTGTCTTCGGTCTCGTCGTCGCATGGACGCTGCGGCACCAGACAAAGGGCGAGTATCTCGCTACTTTGCGAACACAGAAGGGTACAAAACATGACTCGATCCGACCAAACTTCGAGTACTCCGCATTGGAAGAAAAACGCAGTGGCTGATAGAATTCCCAGGCATACCTCTGGCCTTCAATTTCATCGCGTCGGGTGAGTGTGCTCGAAGAGCAGCAACAGCCTGAAACGGCGGCAGCACGAGGGTCAAGCACCTTGAACACGAAAACCACAACCAGAAATGGGCCGAGACACGACAGCCTTTTCGAGGTGGTTCCGGGCCCCGTTTGATCGATACAATACCTTGACTCATTGGCATGTGCTGAGCAAAGCTCTCCATCTGAGGTTCGTATGCTTGCATCAACGCCATTGGCTCTTGTTGCTCTTTGGCCGACCGAAGATCCGTGCTCCGCGCCTCTACTCTGATTGTCTTACCCCAAGCAGGTGCAGGTGTCGAGAGCGTTTTTCTTTGTGGCGTCAAAAGGGCTCAAGGGCCAATGTGCAGCACTACGGGCGCTTGTGTCTGATCGTTTCCATTGCCTCTTCATCCACCTGGGTTCTTGTTCAAGCATTCAGAGATGACGGAGTCGCGAAATGCTGATGACACATTGCTGAGATTGTACCGTCAAAACTCGATCAAGTTAATGCTTGCGTGGGAAACGTGCTGCCAGCTTCCCCCCTAACCCCCTGACCCCCTCCCTAGTGCCCGAGATCGTCCATACTGACAAAACGGTCCTCTGTGGCCAAATAGCTTTGGGTTCAGGAATTTTGTTTACGTACCCGCAGATCGCCACCATCGCGGGTGTGCAGGGCCTCGTGGTCTACAGTCTCTCATCGGCCCTACCACTGCTTGTCTTTGCGTACCTTGGGCCGATTATTAGGAGAAAATGTCCCGAGGGGTTTGTGCTCACGGAGTGGACACGCCAGCGATATGGAGCTCTTGCTGCATTGTATCTCTCGGCCTTGACGTACGAACCTCCTCTACCCCCCGGATTTCCTCGCATCTAACCTCAATTAGACTCATCACGATCTTTCTCTACATGGTCGCCGAGCTGTCTGCTCTCCAGCAGATCATCAACGCGCTGACCGGGCTCAACGGCCTCCCTGTCGTGATCGTGGAATGTGTGGTGACCACAATCTACACTTCTCTGGGAGGTTTCAAAGTGTCTTTCATAACAGACAACATTCAAGGCGCCATGGTCGTGGGATTGATCATCATCGGATGCATCACTGTCGGTGTGGAAACCCATGTCCAAAAGGGCTTGATTGACAAGAGCGGATACCTGGATGCAAGTTTGCTGGGCTGGCAGTTGATGTACATCCTGCCAGTGGCGATCCTGACAAACGATTTCTTCCTTTCCGGGTTCTGGATGAGGACGTTTGCGGCAAAGACCGATACAGACCTGTGGGTTGGGGTGAGCATTGCCACCGTGGCCGTCGCCATCATCCTGACGCTTTGCGGCGTCTCTGGACTCTTGGCTGGGTGGTCTGGCGCTTTGGGCGATCCGCCCGAAGAGTCCTCGATTGCCTTCTTCCTGTTACTGGAACAGCTTCCCGCCTGGGTCGTGGGTTTTGTCATTGTCATGACGGTTGCTCTGTCCACTGCAGCATTCGACAGCTTCCAATCCGCGATGGTGAGTACCGGGTCCAACGACATTTTCCGCAACAAGTTGAACCTTTGGGTTCTCCGGGCGACCGTTGTGGTGATTATTGTCCCCGTGGTGGTCGTGGCGTTGAAGTCGCCCTCGGTGTTGCAGATCTACCTGATCTCCGATCTCATCTCTGCGTCTTCCATCCCCGTCTTGGTCATCGGTCTGAGTGACCGATGCTACGCCTGGCGCGGGTTTGAAGTCGTCGTGGGAGGACTCGGCGGTATCATGACCGTCTTCCTCTTCGGCCTCGTCTTCTACAAGGGAGACGTCAGCTCCGCGGGTGCCCTACTACTACTCGAAGCCGGCCTGTACGCGGACGACTGGTCTGCCTTTGGAGCGTTTGTGGCCGCCCCCGTGGGTGGGCTGCTGTGGGCGCTCGGCGCGTTTGTACTGAGACTCTCTGTACAATGGTGCATCGCCAAGATTCGGGGCACGAGGTTCGATGCGCTAGACAAGCCTGCGGCGCCGTCCGCGAGTTTCTACACGGGCAGAACAAGCCCAACTACGGGCGACTCGGAGAGAGACGTCTACGCTGACGGAGACGGCGTTGTAAGGAGCCAAGTCGAAGTCAAGGGCAAGTTCTTTTGATGGCTAAGTTGAAGTGGTCCTGTACAGGGGAGGAGAGAAAGAAGAAGAGAAGAGAAGACTTGCTCGTACAGAACATGGCGAGTCAAAGGCTAGACCTTACCCCTTACCATTGACGCCCGCGTTGATTTCGAAGGGGGAGAGAGGGGGAGGGAGATAGACGACGACGCCGACGACGACGATGGATGCGGCAGGGTGATTCTTGGAGGAGCCCATCCTATCTGCGGCGTTTTGGATACACGGTGCTCAGCCTTCACCACAATACACACAGGCTTGATTGTCTTTGTTCTCGCCAAATCAACAACGACAAATATCCGACATCCGTTCGAGTCCCAGCTTGAGGATCCCAGTCCTGCTGCCATCTGTTTGCTTGAAAACAGCTTTCAACGACGAGATGGATAGACCGCCCGTACATACACCATACCTGCCTCCTCCCGGCGTGCAGGGACAGAGAGGACAATGGAAGATGTCATATAAAAGGAGGGAATCATGTGTTGATGTCGGTATTGTTGTTGTCATAGCAGGGCTTCAACCACCCTGCACAAATTACGTTCTTTTTTTGAAGATAATCTCGATGTTGCGTTGCAGCTGCATGCATGGCTATTGCTGAATAAATTTACTCTTGTGTTGTCCTTTTGTTGTCCCGTTGCATGAATCATCTTTTTCGGTCTCGTCTTTCAAATAAACCTATTCAAATGCCTGCGTTGATCGATATGCTGGTTGTTGCTATGCGAGGCATACATGTCCTCACAGAGTTCTTCGAAAGGGGACCATCCTGTCTACCCCGGCTCTATTTCTAAACCGTGTCTAACAAAACGCGTTAACGTTGGTAACATGGCATCTGATCCAATCTTCTACTATTGTCCGTTGACTTTTTCTTTGACAAGCTCTTCGGCGAGTTTGCCCTGTTCCTTCTCGTCCTTGAGCACAGGCCTGGGAAGTTCGAAGCCATCCAGTACTCTGGCATAAGTGATGCCTCCCAGTCTGGCGATGGGGCGCAAGATGGCGGGGTCGATAATGGACCTGTCGTCGTTGATGGCGTCTTCTCGAACCCAGAACCTGACGCCTTCGATGACGGCGAGCACGCCGGTTTTTTTCCCGGGGGTTTTGGGAGATCGCGACTCGAATTCCTGCGTGGACACCAGCTTGCCTTCGACGCTGAATACGCTCTCCTTGACGCGGGAGCACTTGACTAGGTCGCTCGGGGCTGGGGTGAGGCCGGACACGCTCCACTCAGACTGGCCATAGGGCAGGTCGATAGAGCAGGCATTAGCGGCCTCGACAAAGTCCTCGCTGATAATGTTGATGACGCACTCACCCGTCGCGATCAGGTTGCGCAGCGAGTCCTTTGCAGCGTCGAGGCCTCCGGCGAAGCCGACGCCGAAGATGGGCGGGTCGTGGTTGAAGACCTGCGTGTACGAAAAGGGGGCCAGGTTCGTTGACTTGCCGTCCGCAGACCGCGTCGACAGGAACCCCACGGGTCGGGGGATGATGCCGCTGATGAGCAGCTTGTAGTTCTGCACGGGCTGTCGGTCCGCTGCGTAGGGGTCGATGCTGATGTGTTGTCGTTGCTCCTTTGCTGTCGACGATGCGTTTGCGCCGCCACCACCGCTCCCGTATGTCCACTCGGGATTCCGCGTCTTGGTGAACTGCCACGTACGCGACTCGTCCCAATCCGGCCGCGAGGCTTGCACCTGGGCAAAATCGCCGTGCGGATTGCGCTTCACGACCACCTCGGCGTCATACTTCTGCTGCGCTTCCTGCGGGTTTGACGGGGTGCCGGACATTTCTTTTTGACCGGGAGGGGTGGCTTTCAAAGTGGGGGGCAGATTGTTATTACAGAGGCAAACCAAGGCCTTGTTGGGGATGGGTGTAAAAAGCTGGTTCAATGCCCTTTTTTTTCGTTTGTTGACCCGAAGAATTGACTTCTCTTCGTCTTTTCAAGGGGGCCCTTCTCCCTTTATCAACTGATAAGGCGTATATGTGGTTTCTGCGTGCGCGTGTTTGTATGTCCGTGTGTCGATACTGTATCTGGTGCGGTACTCGTGCTCGGTATAGAGACGAGACGAACCTCGGCGGCGATATGGTGAAATCCTCTTAGTTTCTTTCACAAGAGTGCTTCGTTTTTCTTCCTCCCGGTTTTTCGGTCGAACTGTCCGTCGCTCGTTCACTCAATCCGTCTCTCAGGAACTTGAGTTGAATGTTATCGGCGAGTTAAGGTGAAAGATGGGAGATGAGAAGTGGTAGGAGTTTGAGTTTTTCTTCAGTGTCTTCGATTTCGTTCTCTTTTTGTCCGTTGGTCGGAACAACAAAGGTCGAGGGGTGGCTTAGAAATCGCTGATTCTCCGGTGAACAGACTAACGAGTACCGAGTGAGTAGGTGAGATGGAATGGAATGGCTCCTATTTCATCGGATCCGAGGACAACGGGAGTAATGAGTACTAGATTCTTCACATGAACGAGACGATGAAGTTGGGACCGAGGAAAGTGGGTGTGAATGGCAGAGAAGGAAGGAAGGATGAGTGATACCTGATACTTTGTTCGAGGTTTTGTGTGGGAGATAGAAGGAAGGGCACATCAAGGGCACACACTAGGGGATACAGCGACGCATCGATCACTCATCTACCTTCTGATTAGGCTGTATTGATTGACACAGGACAAGGGTCATCGCCATGGACTTGACTCTACTAGGTACATTACAGGTGTACTCGGTACAAAGTACATATTAGGTGTATAGATACGTCATGACTAAATGGTTCTATACCTATCAACCTACTTATGGCGTATGCACCGGTGGTACCTAGTAGTACATGTCGGTAGAGCAACACACTAAAAGGAATGAATGATAAGAGGAATCATGTAAGAGGAAAACATTACCCTAATATCACCGTCACATCCATTATGACTGGGTGCCTCTTCTCCTTCTCCCCTTCCCCTCCTCCTCTGTCAGTCCCGGACAGCGGGAGAAATCCGGTCCTTGTGCTTGCGCATGAACACCCCGCTCCATCACAATGAACCTGACTTCCTCAATGGACCTCACATTATCATGCCTCGTATCACACTCACAAGGCAAATTGGCCAGTAAACCATGCCTAATCCAACCAGGCGTCGAGATGGAGATGAGCGACAAGTTTGCGGGGTTGAGCATGTGCCACCGATATGATACGATATGAGGGAACGAGAGGATCAGCAGAGTCTCGGCCTTTTCAATCTAAGGTATTTCATTGCTAATAACCTACTTTTGATGTAGAGGTAGAGGTAGAGCTGTGTCGAGTCGAGAAGGCATTGATTTCTAGTTTCTCTAGTAATTTTCTTCATCTCGACTTAGCAGACTTTTGCTGGAAAGGTATCATAGGAACCTCCGAGATATCTATACGCACGATGCCTGCAGACTACGAGACATACAACCTGGGCGACTTTGCGGTGCAGAGCGGCGCCACCATCCCCAAGGCCTGGATCGCCTACAAGACCTATGGCTCCCCCAGTAACCCTGTCGTGCTCTACCCGTCGTGGTACTCGGGCCTCATCTCCGACAATGAGTGGCTGATTGGCGCCGACAAGACCCTCAACCCGGACAAATACTTCATCATCATCACCGCCCTCTTTGGCAACGGCCAGTCCATCAGCCCCTCAAACTCGGACGTCGTGCCCTTCCCGGACGTCACCTTCTACGATAATGTCAAAGCCCAAAACCGTCTGCTCACCGAGAAGTTGGGCGTGAAGCACCTGAGGGCCGTGCTCGGCTGGAGCATGGGTGCCGGCCAGGCGTTCCAGTGGGCTACCCAGTATCCCGACTTCGTCGACATTGCCGTGCCCTTTTGTGGGAGCGCAAAAACATCCATCCACAACCAGGTCTTCTTGGAAGGCGTCAAGTCGGCCCTGTTGGCGGCCAAAGGGCTCAGTTCCGCCGGGAGTACCTTTGGCAGAGTGGAGAACGCCCAAGATGCCGTCGCCATCAAGTCGAACCGTCAGTGGACCGACCAGGAAAAGGCCACCGGTCTCAAAGCCTTTGGGAGAGGATATGCCGGATGGGGCTTCTCCCAGGCCTTTTACCGCGAAAAGCTTCACCAGTCAGCCTACGGCGCAAAGGATCTCGAGGATTTCATGGTCAATTTCTGGGAGACTTGGGCACTGTCAAAGGATCCCGAGAATTTGTTGGTCATGCTGTACACCTGGCAGGCCGGTGATGTGAGCAAGCAAGAACCTTATAACGGCGACTTTGAGGCGGCAATGAGGGCAATCAAGGCGAAGACCCTGGTGTTGCCCAGCAAGACGGACCTATACTTCCCGTAAGCTTTCCCGTCTTTATTCGCTTGTCGATTTTGACGACATTTCTCTTGATACCTGACTTTGATCACTCACGCGTATCTACTCCCCAACAGGCCCGAGGACTCCGAGTACGAAGTCAAAAACATGTCTCCAGGCGTGGGCCAACTGGATGTATACCCAAGCATATGGGGGCATTGGGCGGGCGGACCACCTGGTAATATGGAGGACGTCAAATGGCTTGATGAACGCCTTGCAAAGCTTTTCGCCGAGGCTCCCAAAAACGGATGAGTTGAAGTCGTTTGGAAGTGACGAGGAAAGGGCCAGTAGGACCAGCAGAGCAAAAAGAATCAACCTGAAATTTTCAACCATGTCTGAACTAAATGTTTGAGGGCAGCTGTCAGCTGAGATTATTCCTATAACCCAGAGTAGTTAGGTTTGTAACAGTCATTCTGTATCTCCCATGTCGAGGGCCATTCAGGCGGGTTTGTTTGAAGAACAAATTCTGAGGAAATACATTCAGACGTCTGCTACCATCGCTGCGAGAAAGCAGCTCATCGCGCACAAGTTCGATCTGAATACGCCGCTGGCGGGCCGCTCCCAATTTGGCGCAGGATCCTCGTCATTGCCGGCCTCGGTACCACATCGGGATCCCGACGTTGCAACTTGGAGAACGGACAAATCCATCCAGCACATTTCCAGGACATATAAAAACCCCTCGATGAATGGCGCTTGCGCCTTGTCGAGCCGCGTTCAGGGAAGAGACCGGACATACTCTGAAGTCATATCAGCTTGACGATTGCGATCCTCCTTCACCATCAGAGCCACAAGATACTTCTGGCCTTGTAACACTTGATTGCGAAGCTCAGCCATTGCATCATGGCGTCGAATTTCAAGTCCATTCATTTCAACCATGACATTCCCGACCTCTCTGGTTCTTTTGAAATCACCTGTTCCCCCGGAACCGATATTTGGGACAAGCCGCCTGCAACACACTCGTTCAATGCGCCAATCATTTACAAAACCAGCACGGTCGGCACATTCAAGTCCGCGAAAGTGACAGTCGCGGCCCCTTGGAAGGACAAATACGATCAAGGCGGTCTGTGTCTGGTCATAAAAACAGCAGACACCCCTCGCTGGGTGAAGACGGGCATTGAATTCCTCGACAATGTGCCGTTGGTGGGCACTGTGGCAAAGGACCGGTGGGCAGATTGGAGCCTCAGGCCTCTGCTGGCTGAAACCCTGAGCATTGAGCACACGGCCATTGTTGAGATCGAGAACGCAAGCGACGGAAGCCTCTGGGTCTGGCTGGTCAGTGAAAGCGGGAAGAGGTTACCGCTGAGAGAAGTGACGTGGTGGGGAGATTTACCCAAGGACACAGAGATTTGGGTCGGCGTTTATGCCGCGAAACCGGCGCCACATGGGGAGAAGGACGATCTCGTTGTTACATTTGAGGGGTTGGACATCCAGTAGACAACCAAAAGTGACCTTCAGGGTGTCGTTCGTAGCTCGCCGGGTTGTCGGGAGCGCGGCTCGTGGAAGGGGAGAAGCTCGCCATGGTATGACCGACCTACATGTGAAAGGTTTGAGATATTTGCAGCAGTGCAATGAGGCAACAGCAAAGTTCAGAACAGAGGATCTCCAAGAACACGGATTCCCGGCTCCTGCGTATTGTAAGGTGTGAGCTTCATCAGAGACGAGACCCGAGGGGCGCGGGCGCAAGTTATATATCGACGCGTCTCACTAGCGGACGCGTTTCGGGCACCTCCAACATTTTAAGCCTCCGCCATTGTCACCCACTGCGATATTATCACCACCGCGAGCTGCTCCTGTCTCCATGGTCACTGCTTTCACCCACTTCGGAGCATTCGACTTGTCAATCGCACATCTCGTTTCTTTACGGCAGCGACCATCGTCTCTATCTCGGTGCTCCTCAATAAACCTGTCTTAGTCGTCCCTCTCCCAAAGATGACAGTCGACTCGTGACACCCCTCTTTGCAACATGCCCACCCGGCTTCGCAATGCTGCCGCCGTAGAGGCTGCGCAGACTTCCCGTCGATACGATATACCCGGCCTTCAGTTCGACGACACTCTGGAATGGCGCGCCGGTAAACCAATCGCCGTGGGAGACCTTCTCAAGCGGCTGCAGAAGCTTGCTAGCCAGCTGCGCAATTATGATGTCGATCAAGTCGACTCGCGCGCCTTCACTACCCTTGGGCTCGATCTCGCAAACCCAAATCTTCTCGGGCATAAGGACAAGGGTGTAAGAGCATGGACCGTCTCCTGTATTGTCGACGTACTCAAGATCTGCGCTCCCGATGCGCCGTTCGTCGAGGCGCAACTGAAGGTGTGTGTGCTCGCGACATCCCATTTCAAACAGCCGAGGGCGTTGCCATTGACATGAGTAGGACATCTTCACAGTCATCATCACCTCTATTCTTCCGGCCCTTGCGGATCCAACCAACGCATACAATGCCCAACACGTCTACATCCTCATCTCCCTGGCCGAGTCGCAAAGCATT